GCAGGTTTTAGGTTATGTGTTTTATTTTTCCTGTAGAAAACTATATCTTCTTTGGATCAGTATCAATTTTGGACATAGTGACATGTTTGATTTGTCCATGTCACGCGTCGTTGTTGTTACAGGCTAATTCTCTTACCATTTTTCCAACTACTACAGAGTACTTTGACCATTTTAAAACGTACGCGTGAAAACATGTGATTTTTTTTATTAGTGGAAGTATCTTGAATAATTATTATTTATGTATACGATTTATTCAGTGAAAATTATATGTATGATGATAAAATATCATAGAGAAGTAGAAAATTCTATTATAGGAATTTCATAAACATTTATACTGTTTTATATTGTTTTTTATATTGATCATTTCGTGATATATCCATGTTTTTCAATGATAGGAAAAAGGGGAGGTTAACCATATATTTAAATAAATAAATTATACATAAAATACTGTAAACAAAATATGTCTATTCTATAATACATCAAATATAATCATATGCAAGTATAAACTCTTTTTTTTAATTTTGCTCAGCACGATCTAGTCCACTATAAGCCCCTCTTCCTTGCACAACTGCTTATATGATTATTCTAATGCTCTACACGTTATGTCTTATCGATACTATATACTAGAACACTTCAAATGTGAGTTTTTTTTTTGGTAAAACTGCACATTTATTACTTATACAAAATCTCCATGATTATTACATACTTTTAAATATTCTGTGTTAAATACCCACCTAATCTCGTAATCTTTGTCAGCGTTTTTTTCTCCTCGTCATTGGCTTTCAAGTATAACAAATACGTATGAGTATACGCAATTAATAATTTAATTTTGAAATGTGTATTATTAACCTTATTTTAAGTTATGTTAAAAAGCTTAATATATCGATTTAATATTATTATTGTTTTCTATCCAACATTTGAGTTCCCCTATAGTCGAGTCATACAATTTTAACGATTTATTCACGTTTATTATTTGTTACAATCTCCTCCCTTTGCAAATTCCCTGGCACGCTACTGTATATATTCAATTATATACTGTACCTAATATATATTTGTATAAATTATGATAATAACATATTAGGTTTTTTAGTTTGCGAGTGTTTATAGAGGAAAATATAATTAACTTTTTGGTCACGTTTATAACTGCGCTGTACACGCGTTTTTGAAATCATCCACTTGTCGTTCGGTGTGACGTCGTGCAAAATAAATAAAATGCACTAGCTCGTGTTCGTTCGTCAGCACCGCTGTTCGCCCGTAATATTGTATATAATAATAATAATAATAATATTACAACTGATATTGTTTCGTGCGACGAAATAATATTGTTATTTCACCTCGACGAGTACCATTGTGTATGTATGTCCGTTAAAATAATATTCCAAAAGAGGGATGCATACCCATCTACACCTAATTACCTGTATTTAGCATTTTTTTTATTGTTCGAGCTATTTTTCAAGAGTTATTATATAAAGATACGGTAATTTCGGAATTTTCCCTATATGGGAATATATCCCTATTATGTGGTAGAAAAAATAGGTTTTACAAGACGTATGGACGTATGGTTATTTAAGTTGTTTAAAAAAAAAAAAAAAACGCCTTTCGTTCCAAATCATATAACAAACTATATTCGTTTATTGCTGTGATCATTATTTACGTATCAACGAGTGACGTGATATTATTTGAACAAAATCGTGATGGACCCGATATGTGTTTTTCTACGAAATTAGTGTCGATAAAACATGATGCTATGTGCGCATTACTGCTCTCAGTGGAATACTTATGAACTGTTTATCGGTACTAGCGCAAAATAAAATAAATTAAAGAGTCTTATATTACTGTATAAATATATAGGTTTTTTTTTATCAACATTAACCGTCTACAACTCGCGTGGGGTAAAGAAGTATCATACAAGTAGTGTTGTACAATATTATCATTTGTAGTTTTTCATTCAATATAATACTCAATGAAAAAAATCTGTCGTGAAACGATGAGTCTGTCTCTCACGAACATCATTTTATATTTATTCGGTGTAGTTATCATTAAACTACCTATCTATTATATGAGTCTATGGGGGTAACCGTTTTAAGGGCTGACGCAATTAGCGTATCGTTGAACACGTTTTTCTCGAATGTTTTTACTACATCACTCCTGTAAAAAGTATCTGCACAAGCACACGTATTCATTCCGACTATTATAATTTCTTATTAACGAATTTCTGTACGGAATTCATATACGTATTATATCGTTAAATCGTAAATCTTTTCACTCGGTGACGACTACGAACGATTACTATTATTTTGTCGGGCTCGTTGTATAATAATGCGATATTATATTATTATAATACCTACGCTGTTGCAGCCATAAGGCGTCGTCGTTGTCGTCGTCGGCCTCTATGGCTTGCGTCCTGTATAATAATATATACAAGTGTTTGTTTGCCACAAACAATGCCCCCGCCAACAAACCTTTAAAATACTATCAACAACAATATACGCGTACATAATATTATAAATCCTTCAGAGTATAATTTTTAATCAAAAGAAAAATAATTAATGAATATTATAATGTATAAATTTCTATTTAGCTTCTGTCGTCGTGTGTTTTGATAATGCACACTCTTCGTTTTGTGGTTAGATTATAATAAATTATCGTTCGTTTAATGTTTTTTTTTTTTTTTTTTTTATGTAAGACCGAGAGTACTTCGTATCCTGTTGTTTTCGTCACATTTACAAACAATAGTCACTGCGATCGTTGCAGTAAACCGACTTTTTAAATTCAAACTTCCGTACTTTTTAGTCGGGACAATTATCGATTTAGTAATGCATGTTGGTAAGTTATTTTATGCCTATAGACTACAGTTTTTAAAAATAATATATTGAAAAAAAAAACATATGAGTATATTCATTTTCGTGTTTAGAAACCTATATTCAAATCTCTAAAAGACTTTAGGTTAATATGTTAAGATTGTCACTAAACATTTTTTCTACCAGAAATCTTGCTCCAATCAAAAACTTTTTAGTAACTTTCTTCTAAAATTTTTAATGTAGTCGGTATATTGAGGATATATTTCGATTTTTCTTGTAGTTTTTTTAATAAATGGAGTAAACTAAAAACTATTTGTAAAAATTTAAGTTACCTTGGCAAAATAGAAAAAAATACGGTCAATAATTTGCTCAGAATCGTTTTTGTTAGCCATGATTCATCGTTGCTTCCAGATATAAATTAAATTCCTCTATATTTCCTTTCTTCAACTTTTCTTGTAAAATCCATTAGCACTGTTGGCCTTTTTTTTCAGCTTGTACTTTTTTCAACAAAGTATTTCACTTTTAAAATTTAATATCTCCCACCTTGGCGAAATCCTATATACCGCCATTGCTGAGATCTTGTTGTGTGACGCCATCACTGTGTTTATTTCTTTTTTTATACATTGGCATACACTTACTCTATGAGAATTTTCACCTTTATTTATACGTTATAACGTTACACAAGTCTGTCTCCATATCTAACTACCTCTTTCAAGTTTTAAATATTTTAAACTCTTATTCCGGATGTAAATCATCTTTTCTCGAGTCTTCTATTGCTACCATCTAACTGCCGCATCATCTCTTTCTTTGTCGTTATAATATATGTGACCTAAACAACATAATTCATCGGCTGAACTTCGATCGTTTTGTTTATAATTTACGCTTTCGCCTAACGAATGATTTTATTTATTTTTTTATTTTTTTTTTTCGTGGCCGGATTTGTGCAAAACGGGAAATTTGAAATCGAATGCTGTCGGCAACCCTGTTGCCAATTCACGAATTCCCATAGCTGCGACTGAGACGACGTGACCGGACTATTGCTCGATAGGACTCGTAGGCTTCGCGTTTCAGCAATTCAATACACCGGCTGTCGAATATTTGAGTATAATATGTATATTATTTGAGAGTTCGAAATTTCGTAATTTCATCGCTCGCAGAGTTTATTTTCGTTTTCCGAACCGGAGAAATTTCAATATCGGCGGCGGCGTATTGTCGACGTAAAGTGCCGTCATCGGTTTCGGCCTTTCGCTTTTTAATAATATTAAATCGTAATAAGATTTCAATTAAATCCCAAATCACTTGTTAGATTTGATATTCGGGTCAACGCGTATTTATGTTCCATAATTGTCTAAATACGAACATTGTATATTCGAACGCAACGTGTACCGTTTATTTGGAAACGATTGGAATTATTGTTTAAATAAAAACTCGCCTGATTCGGGTCTATAATATAAATAATAATAATATTCGCGGTCGCAATGTTTAGATGTGCTGTTTTGTTGTCGTTGTTTCAATCATACACGTTAGCAGACGATTATGGCGAAACAATAATAATACATATGTGCGCCACCGCCTCCGTGTGTTTGATAATCCGCTAGCAGTGATGCTTGTGTAATCGTCTATTGAACACGTAGTGTATTGCGAATCGGGCCGGAGAAATTAACATCGTGTCTGCAGCGTGATGTGGAAAGCATTTTTTTTTTTTTTGAAATCACGTCTCAGATCGACCCGACCGCGCACTGTGTCAATAAATATTTGATTGTGTTTTATTGTCGCCCGTTCGGGGCACGAATAGCCGATACGGCCATTATGGTTGGCCATAGACCAGTGACAAAAACTTGAGCCCCATAATGGACCAGAAAATAAAATGGCCAGAAGTAATATTAATATAGAAAACAACCATAAGTTAAGTTATTGTCCGGAAATCGGATAGCCATAAAGTAGGTTTACAAAGGTATAGTTTTTCAGAAAATAAATATACGGACCGACAGTATGAGTATAGAAACCCAGAAAATAAATTAGCCAGATTGCGAAAAACCCGAAGGATATTTAAACGGAATGTATAAAATGATAGAAAGTGATAGTTTCGTTTCGCAAAAATAATTTCTATATATTATGCGAGCGTGATTTGTTTATTTATTTATTTTTTTTTTTGAATTTAGCAAATTTTCACCGGAATCTCCACTCCGACAATATTCTAGCTGATTGAGTCGGCTACCCCATCTATCCCGGCAGTACAAATTCTCTAACTTGTTTTAATGAACCCTCGAATGCATTCTCTAAGTATATTATTATTCACTGTTTATACTGTCGCTGCAGTTATGTATAGTATATAACACGCGTCGTGTTTGCAGTGGGATTTCCGCAAACGCAAACACAATCAAACGGCGGCGTATTCCTCTATGGCCATTGTGAAAACAAACGCCCCTTGTCGTTTCGCTATTACGCGCCCCAGTAATTCTGTTTGCCTGGTGTCAGAACGTTATATAACTTCTTTGCATCCCCCTCGTCATCGTCGGTGCCTCGCGTATATCGTGTACATACAAGGTGTCCCGAGAAGATGTAAGCGCAACGCGATAACTTCCAAATTTTGTTCAACAACTTTTAGAAACAAGCATCTCTACAAACGTTACTATTGTTGTTTTACGTTATTTTCGGAACTGAAACGGCTACGTGCTTACTCAAACGGCAACCTGTATTGAAAACTGTGTAAGTGTACGCGGAGTCGGTATTAGACGAAATACAAACGTAAAAATTGGAATATCTCGTCGACGGAAAATAAACGTTTCAACGCCGAAACGTGTTCAACTTAACATTCTGTTTTAAAATCAAAAGTGGCTATAGTAGTCGTTTTACACTCGAAAATAATGGCAACGCAACATTTTGTTGCTTGGTTTTCCTTAAACTTTCCGACACAAACAAAACCCATTCCGAAAATAGTTAATACTTTTCGGGACTCGGCCACGGGTGTATCTCCGTGAGACACCCTGTATATACACGTCATGGGCCGTGCGCTACCTACGCACCCGAACGATCACGACGGCGCCACTCCGTATACGTCTCATCATTCACCTGCTCTCGGCCGAAAGCCCTCGCCAACGCCACGCACACACACATACACATGGGCGCGCGCACAATGCGCAACGCGTGTCAAAACTTCGGAAGTTCCGGAATTCCCCACGCAGATGTATGCGCGCGCAAAGTTTTTTAATCAAACCTCCAAAATGTCACGCGAATATTTTCGTCCCGCGCCCGGCGACGGCCATGGTGTGGCGTCTCTGTGCGTGTAGTTTTTGACCCAAAGCGCGCGTCTTACGGCCGTCGGTGGCGCCTCCTCCACGACGGTTCAATTCGTTATACGACAGTGCATAATATACAGAGTGTACAGGATATAATGTGTGATGCTGAATTAGAATAGTTTACCTAACAATTAAACGCATACGTTTCTGTATAGAATTTTTATCAGTTTTGTTGTAATCGAATCGAATATCACGTCACCGATTTGTATTTTGAAAAACAATGCTTGGCGTACGATGGCCACCTTTTATATAGCGTGTCATAAAAATATGCAGATGCAGTCTGTGAAGTTGTCTACGATTCGATCACAAACATTCGGCTTTAAAATAAACACCGTTTCTTTTAAAAATAAAATAAATAGGAAATCGCGTGGCGTACGACCACAGGATCAGGATGGCCGTTCCTGGTACCCACGCAAAGATATAACGTATTCCTCAGAAGTAGTTCATATGTTCCACAATAGAAAGAATCGAAATCGTACTACCAAAAAAAAAAAAAAAAAACACGAAAACAAATGTGGTCAACTTAATATTCTGTGCTACATCGTCGACACCCTATAATATGTATTTTAGTACACAAACAAACAAACATAAATAATAGATATATAGAAGAATGAAATACGAGCACACGAATAAGAAAAAAATACGTACCTTACAAATAATAATAATAATGTCACTGCAATTGGATCACACATTCGACTTGTCTCCGGCGGAAGATTGATTTGAGGAATTATTATTATTTTTTTTTTTTCAATTACATTGAAAAAGTGGTCCCGTGAAAGCCTGAACACGAATAAAATATGTTATTTTTGTACTATACACAATGATTCACTTAACTTTTGCCGCGTTACTCACTCGCAAAACAACGCAGCTGATTAAATACTTTTGCCGACAACGAAATCCACGAAATAAAAATATACATCACGTGGGCGTCGAATGTGTTTTCTTTTATACTTGAAATAATGACGATTCCGGCAATCGATTATAGTTATTTCGGTGCAGGAACCGGGAAGAAGTTCAAAATAACATTTTAGGCATGCGATATAATCTGTCGATAGATTACTAGCTGAAAATAAATTGATTTTCAGGTTCTAGATACAAGATACTAAATATACTTGTAATAATATGTAATAAGTATTGCAACTATGTAAGATACGAGTACAGGAAATTTAATGTTTCATTAAAAAAAAAATAAATAAATAGTATATGGTTATTTGAACCATTTTTAAAAATTTTCCTATTTTTCACGCAGTCGCTTTTAATTTTAAAAGTGTTTTCGGAAAAGTTACTGTAGAAAACGATCCAGCTCGCATCCTTTTTAGGTGCATAAGGACAAGATATTTAAAAATGAATATCTGGATATTGCGATATAAGATGCAAGAGACAATTGTATCAATGATACCTAGTATTTGAGATACTTGTATACAAGTACTTCCGAATACGATAAAATCTTCGGAAATAACTAAAAAAGTTTGTTCCGTCTGACGTACAGATACCCGAAGCAACGGTTTTGCATAAAGATTTATTTTCAATCAAGTTCTGACACGAGCTGGACATAATGCAATCCACCGAATGTACGTGAAGTTTCCCCACCATCGACCTCAATCTATTCAATTAAATACGGCTAAACAATTATAAATAATAGAAAATTCGGTTAGGCCGATGGTAATTAATATTATGGCCGAAATATTATAGACGCAATTGCCTAAAACCAAACCCAGGTGAAACACAGGTATGTGTATTTCACATAAGGAACCTATGTGCCAGCCGTACTCTTAACGTCAGAAGCTAACTAATACACAACATCCGAAATACCTCAGAGTAACGCTAGACCGATCTCTCACCTACAGATTCCACTGCGAAAACACCAAGCAAAAAATAATGACAAAAAGTGGTATATTGCGGAAACTTAGTGGCTCTAAATAGGGCTGTAACCCTCATGTCTTAAGAACTACGGCGTTAGCCTTATGTTTTTCAGCAGGAAAGCATGCTAGTCCAGTATGGGGCAGGTCATCACACATTATGTAAGTCAATGTTACACTTAACGAGTCTTGCTGACTCAACCAGTTACCCAAAAAATGCACCGGTTGAACGAATATACATACTATCGGGGATAGCTTCCTCATCAATAAGAAGATCTACGCACGTGGACTGGGAAAGAACGAAAATAACATTAGACCCACGACACCCTATGTACAGTGAAACTTCACAACTCTCGTCTCAAGTCCAGGAAAAGCTTCATGATGCACACAAAAGTCATCTCGATAAGACAACACACCTTGAAGTAAAAAGGACGACCAGATGGAGAAATCAGATAAGTAGTCCCCCCAGCTGAATGCCAAACGAGTCACTTCCATCTGGACAATTTAGCGCACACTAAACAGACTTAGAACAGGAATAGGACGAACGAAAGATAATCTAATAAAATGGGGGCTGCTAGATAGTGCAGAAACTTTGTGCCTCTGCGGAAAAGAACAAACAATACAACCATCATCGCATGCACAGCTTGCCCGCACACCTGCACTCCAGAAGATATCCAAAAAAGTGTAAGCCAAGGAATAAACGTGGCCCGCATTTGGGCCGAAACAATATAAACCCACTAATATGGTCCTTATAATACTAAACTATATTATCATATCATAGTACACATTATATTTTATTTAACTTTATGTTACTTGTGATGTTACGCAATTTTTAATTTTAATTTTTTATTTTATTCTATTATGCATTTTCTTTTTAATATTACCACATTGAAATTATATACATAGGTATGTATATATATATATATATGTTGGAATATTCAATTTCGACAAACCGATCAATACTCGAATATTTTTTGTTTGAATATTCGCAAGGTTATATATAATATGCAATATTATTAACATTTGTAATCAAACAGTCCTAAAATAGCAATCAAAACAAAAAAATCAACGTCCTGTTTGTTATCGGGTTGAGGGTTATATTCGGCCACCCTTCGCGTACATAATTTGCGATTTGACGAATTCGAGGTTTTTATTTTATCGGTACGGCAAATCGCGGTATACCGGACTCTATATGCACACTCTGCGTGTCAGATGAAATTATATAAAGTTTTTTTTTATTAGCACACACAGTAATTGCTTATTTCCAGGGGTTTTTTTTTAATAACGTTTACTGTGCTTAGCGTGAACCGTGTACCTGTAACAATATTTTACCGGAAACGTGTCTGCGGCGTCAGTGGGGGCAGCGGTCTAAAATTATTATACCTACTGGTATATCACCGTGCAACTCAAATTGTACGCGCAGAATTTATTTTTCAAATCCGAAGTCACCTTCATGACGCCCGCAGTCGGTGCAGACTGGGTATACGTATTTTACGTGTATTATAGATATAAATTGAGTAAAACACAAAATACAAAAAACAAAAAAACAATCGCATGACTAATCGCATTTGACCCTTTTTTTTTTTGCCCGCGTGTTAATTTATTCGGAGTGAACGAAATGGCTTTTTACCGTATATATACCTGTATACGTAATCAGCGAACGGAATGAGAGGAGAAGTAGGAGAGGATGGAAATTAAAAACGGCGTAGACTATTCGGCTGCGGTGGCGGTACATTTTCGATTACAATAATATGGATAAATTATTTTTGGACACCGTGCGTCGTCATCGTCGTCGGTCCGGAGATTGTTTTATTTTAATTAAATCGGTCGTCGAGCCATAGTATTTTGTTGGGGGATTTTTTTTTTTTTTTTTTTTATTGTTATTCGTTTTTAACCTTTTTCACATTTTTGCCCTCACGCTTGCCCGTACGTATGATCGAATCAACCACCACGGTCGTGTAGGTTTGACAAATCCGTGTGGCAACTTTTTTTCTTTCCGTGCACACGTTTATAACCACTTTTTTGATTTTCAATAGTATAAAAATTATCCTTGCGCCCTCACGTCAACAGTATTTTAAATATTATATTTAAATTATTTTAGAATATTTCTTAGGGGACGCGTGTGTGACTTGGAAAACCACTTACCAACAGGCATGACGGATTAGACTTATCGTGTTAGACCAAGTGGGAGTAAATCATGGCTCGCCAAGTCTGCGCGAATTGTGAGAAAGCTGACGACCACAACCTTTCAAATTTTTATTTATTTATTTTTTTTTCACTTTTTCGAAGATTGTCATTTGTTGGTCGGCAATCAATGACTATTGATTGCTATCAATATACCAAACGTGGGAGTTGATAGAATGCATACGTAATGTGTACGTGCAAAAGAAGAACCGAAACATAATGTTTATTATCGAATTTGTATTTTTACTTCGCTAGAATTTTGTGGTCAACAAACCAATCGGTAAACGCCTGGAAGACTGGAATAAAATCGATAATTTTATAATAATGGAATTTGTATTACCTCTAACTTATCCGGTTTTTCTAAACATTTTTCCCTAAAAATTCTCGAAAAATCAAATAATGACCTTTCCAGTACACCTATACTAGATCAGAAATGCTACAAAAAAGC